GTTGGCAGAGGAAGTGGGGATCTCTTATGGATCCATTCACATAATCCTGTCAGAGGATTTGAAGATGGAACATGTCAGTGCAAGGTTTGTCCTACGGCTGCTGAACCCACATCAAATGGAAACTCAACAGTTGACTGTGGTTGTATGTTTTGAAAAAAAGCACAGAGGATCCAGCATTTCTTGAGACAATTGCTACTGTTGACATGACCTGGCTGTACGCTTATGACCTGGAGACAAAGATGCAGTCATCAGAATGGCACACAATGTCTTCTCCTCAACCAAAGAAATCATTTCATATCAAATCGAAAACAAAAGTGATGTTCACTGCATTTTTCGATAGCAACGGTATGTTGCACCATGAATTTGTACCAACAAGAAAAACTGTTAATGACCCTTTTTACATGCAAGTTTTGTAAAAACTAAGGGAGGCAAACCAAAGAAAACATCTCGCTAAATGGCAAGGAGGATGGTCAATGCATCTTTTTGCATCATAACAATGTTTCCTATCACACATCAATTACTGTACAGACATGGCTTCGAGAGAAGAACATTCCAGTCCTCCAATAGCCTCCCTGTTCACCAGATTTAGCATCATCGGATTCCTGGCTCTTTCCCAAGATTAAAAAAAGGGCCTCAAAGGACGATGTTTTGATGCTGTAGAAGACATCAAAACCAATTCGATGGCAGAACTTCAGAAGATACCACAGCAGGACTTCCATCATTGTCTCCAGCAACAGCAGGAGCATTGGAACAAATGAGTGTGTTCTGAAGGAGCCTACTTTACAGGTGATTTAGTAAATGTGTACCTATATTGTGGCAATAAAGAGTTACAATGAAATTCTGGGAACTTTTTGACTGCCCCTTGTATATCCAAGGCTACTGGCTGGACAAGAAAGACTTTAATGGTCGCTTGTCAATTAGTATGCATAACAATGTCAATAATATCAAGCAATTACTAATATCAAGCAGAACTTGCATTTAGCTTATAATAATGTATTGGAGAAAACCAATAAACTGATTAAGGTTCATCCCTATTTGAATATTTTAAATATATTTTGAATATATTAGTTACTTTCTATCACTGAGCAAATGATACCTTATTTTGGTAGACATTCATGCAAAACATTTCTCAAAGGATTGTAAACAATGACCCGCTGGAAAGTCCTATCCAGCCCGTGGATAGAATTTTAATTTGTTGGTCCGAGGCAAATTAAAAGAAATATCTATTATATATTGTGGATATATATCCACAATGTTTGTGATCATTGTGAATAGCAGGAATCCGCAGCATCATTGTGAATAGTGGTGAAATTATTAAAAGTATAGTGCAGCTAGTGCTTGTTTGGGTAATTCGTAATGGCTATTAAAAAAACATACAGTTGATTCAATGTGCCATGCTTTTACTGATGAATGGGCCTGGAAATATTTTTTAACCATTGTAAAAGATAAACCAGTCTGTCTCATCTGCAATTTAGCTGTAGCAGTCTTCAAAGAATATAACATTTCCTGTCAATTCAAATCTAAGCATAAGAATTCCAATTAAGAAGCAACATCCGAATACGAAAGAAACAAAATGCAGAAGATCTTTGTAAAAAATTATCAGGCCAACGATAATTAACGATAATTAACGGCCATTTTTTCACGAAGGTAAACAGTATCCAAGAGGCAGCTACACATGCATGTTACATTGTAGCATACAATATTGCTAAAAACAATGAAGCTCTCAGTGATGGGGAGTTCGATAAACAATGCATGCTCCAAGTTTGTGATGTTTTATGTTCAGACAAGAAAAATAATTTTGAGACTGTAAGCTTATCTTGAAAAACAGTGACTTCTAGAATTGAAGACATCCATAAAAATTTGACATCACAATTAGAGTCAAAGACTAGCCAGTTTATATTTTGCTATATAGCTCTGGATGAAAGCACTGATATAAATGATACTGCTCGATTCGTATTGTGAGAACTTTGAAATTACCGAGGAACTGGTGTGCATGCCTTCTTTAAAGGGAACTATAATGGGATGTGATAGTTTCCATGAATTTCAGGAAGAGCTTTTAACTGTGAAAGCGCCTGTAACAAATATACGTAATATTATGACCAATGGAGCACAAAAATGACAGAAAAAAAAAATCTGGTTTTCTTGGACTCTTTAATCAAAACTTTCCCGGGAACAATGTTGTTTTTCTACATTGTGTTAAACATAAAGATGCTCTGTGTAAATTTGCAATTGAATATGAAACCAGTGCTTGATATGGTCGTGAAGCTTGTAAATACTTGTAAATACAGTTTCACAGTTGATGAAGTAATATGTAAGTACCATTTGCTGTTATTACATTACATCAACCATTCTTGCTTATTTTTTTTTCATTTTTTGCTTTTATAGATAAACTTTTTTTTTTTTTTTTTTTTTTTTTTAAAGACCAGTAATTTTTATTCCAGCTTCTGGTATTCTTATTAATTCTGCATTTTAAACATTAAATTTTTATAATTTTCAAAAAACTAAAATTATTTTAATTGCATATTTAAAAAAGAGATAAGATGTCAAAAAAATATTTTGAAGGTTTAGAAAAGAGTTCCTTTACAATTTCATTCATTTGTGAATATAATTTAATACTTGAGATCATCTGCCATAATATAATTTATTAATCTGAATTTAACATACGATTAAAGAGTGTCAGTATGCATGAAACAGTATATAAAAATAGTTTTTAAGAATCAGAATAGTTAGCGCAATTAGAATGTTTTCTTTAAAAGTCATGCTTGAATTCTTTTTTAATTAATAATCATCAATACAGCCTTTATTTGTGCATTATTTAAAATAATCCAATGTTATATATAATAAAATCCAACAGATGAATAAATGCATCATAGTACACATTTTATTGGAATTTTGATAAAAAATAAAATCATAGACTGTAGGGGGGAATGCTTAGAATAGCAAATGAAATTGCAAATACATGAGCAGTGAACAGCAAACACAACATGCATATCTGGAGTTATGACGGATATATAGTTCCTGCATACTATGCACTCATACAGGTATATAGCACTGAATATGATTTTATTACTTGACTTTATTATTATGACATTTACTTGCTTTATTTAAAAATAATAGCAGAAATATTTCTAAATATTTATTAAAATATATTTTTTAAATTTATAATTAGTTTTTATTATATTATTATGTTTTATTATAATTTATAATTAGATTTTAGTAGCTTTATTTAATTTTATTTTTTGGTTTTAATTTTTTTTACCTGGGTTCTTCTGAATTACATCCCCTACACGTCTGTCTTATTTGTCTGTTGCCTTATTCAGCACTATGCTCAGCACAAATTATTTTACAATAATTATTGTGTAGTTGTAGGATTACACATGCCAAAATTTTTCTCATATTTATATTGGCACTCTTTTAGTGACATTTTGATGAGCGGTTGCCCTACAGTTCACAAGTTTTTATCTTTATTTGTAATAATTTCAAATAAGAAAGAATGGCGAAGAAGTTAAATTACTCGAGATAATCACTTGAGATTTAACTGTTTGAGTACGGCGAAGCGCTATCGCGCTTCACTTGTCGTATGTCAAAAATACGGCGCAGCGCGATAGCACTTCTCTTATTTTGTATCAAGAATGCGAAGACGTTGCTGTTGGTTAGTATACTTTACACAATTATTGAGAGTGGTTGTAGTGATATCAGTAGCAGTTGTTTTATAGGAATTGGAAATTGTTTTCATTTTTTTACCAAGTGTTATACTGATAATTACGAAATAACCTATGTCAAGTTCTAATTCATTTGAAAGTGACTATGTTATGAGAAGTGATAATGAAGAGTATAGTAATGACCTTGAAAGTGATAGTGGAAGTGACATCATCATTCGTTATAATAGATTACGAGTTATTAGTGATAGCAGTGATGATGATGAAGTAACTGCAAGTACATCCGATTACGATATTATTGATGAGTTTTACCCGTGGATACAATTTTTTCGAACGAATCGAATATTTTTTCTGAAGTACCTGGACCAAAGCATGCCCCTCCTCCTGATGCGAAACCAATTGAATAATTCAATAATTTTTTTTTTTCAATTTTCAGTAATTTTTTTTTCAAGTATACTAACCAAAAGTAGCGTCTTCGCATTCTCGATACAAAACGAGAGAAGCGCTATCGCGCTGCGTCGTATTTTTGGCATACGACAAGTGAAGTGCGATAGCGCTTCGCCGGACTCAAAACGGTTAATATTCATAACTTTGATAATTGTAAATTTCACTTTCAGAACTCCTACATGTATTTGAATTTTTTTTTAACCCTCTGACATACAATGTCTGGGATATGTCACTTATTAATAATGTCAAAATGTCAAAACCCATTTTGATGGTTCCCAGACTTAATGAAGTTATTATTAGTTTCACGTAAAATTTCCTCTCTTTTTATTACATTTGAAACATTCAAAAAAATTTCTAACAGCCAAAAATTAGTCTAACACAGAGGTTCTCAACCAAGAGAAAATTCCCCCCCCCATCCCTTGAGAAAATTTCAGTTTCAGGAAGAATGTGGTCAAAAAACTTTATTCAAGTTTTGGCATTTATCACCAATTTCTATATTTTTCTTGTTTTGCTTATACAACACATTAAAACACAGATTTATTAATACATTAACTTTAAATAAATTTATACGAACCTTTTTAAGTTTTGGAAAGGTGGGAGGAATGAACATCTAGCATTCGTGAATGGAGTGCATAGAAAAAGAAAAAAGTCGCGAACCACCAGCCTAATAGCAATTTAATTTATATTTTTAAGTGTATCTGCTTTGAATTTCATTTGTATGGCAAAGGGTTAGGTGAAACCCCAGATTTTCCTAAACTAAAATTTAAATTCTGAATAAATTTTTAGAAATTTAAAAAGTAATTGCACAAAACAACTCATATATCAGGAATTTAAGGTACAAAATTTAGTGTTTGAATTTATTTACTAAAAAATATGCGAAATAAAAACACATACCTTGAAAATTTAGAAGAGTGTGTCATACTAGCACTCTTGGAATCTTTAAATTCTAATGTAGGACTCTTCACATCTTTGTCTTTAAGACTATTGTCATCCTCTTTGGTAACAGTTCTAATTTCTTCAACTAATTTTGGATTTTCAGTTGGCTCTTCAGAAATCTCTCGATTATCATCCTCTTTGTTAACATTTTCAGTTATTTTGACTAATTCTGAATTTTCAGTTGGATCTTCAGATGCCTCTTGATTATCATCCTCTTTGTTAGCATTTTCAGTTATTTTGATTAATTCTAAATTTCCAGTTGAATCATCAGAAGTCTCTTGATTATCATCCTCTTTGTTAACATTATCAGTTAATTTGACTAATTCTGGATTTTCAGTTAGATTTTCAAAAGTCTCTTGATTATCATCCACCTTTGTAAATTCACAACTCTCTTGCTCATCACTACTTTTATGGATTTCTTAAATAAAATTTCACAACATAAATACATATATTAATTATTATTATTATATTACTTACAGAACATTAAAATTAAAAGCTTCTGTTTTATGCAGTTTTTATCCCTACCCAAAATCCCCCAACAAATTTCTCTGACAGTACTGATTTTGAAGATTATAAGATTATTTAAAATTAAGCAGAAAAACAAACTTAAATTGGCATATAGATTCTGATTCAAAAAAAAAAAAAAAAAAAAAAAGCATACATCTCAGTGCTTGGAATGGAAATGACATTAAAGAAATTTTGTTGAAGTCAGAGAATTTAAACAAACTTTTTGAAAAATTAGTAAAAAACTAAGCAATAAGCAGGAAAACTGTCATATAAAATGCATACGCAATTAGATTGATATTTGGTGAAGATTTTCATTGCATTCTAAGTTACATATATTCTGAAAAGTGTTTTGAACCATTCTATTTGCACTAAAATTTGCTGAATGAATTATATCTTTGGGAAGGAGGGGGCAAGTATTCAAAGGAATTGCCTATAAAAAGAAAGGATAACACTTTATACAACAAAGGAAACTCATATTAATATTAATGTTTGATACTGCTAACAATTTCAGATCATAAGCACCCCTGTTATTGCAACAATCTCTGAAATTATTTAGAGATTTTAGCTGATTAAAGGCAGCAGCATCTCACTTTTAATGGAGTTTCACACACATAGTTGAGAAAACTAAGGTTAAGACATATGGACTTTAAATAAAATTGGAAACGTTGCCTTATCAATCTATACACACAAAAAGATGAATACAAAGAATCAAGATTTCATCTTTCTCTTTCAGACAATTCAAGCTTTCTCTCAACAGTGTGAACAGTTAAGTACACTGACCTGAGATATCACCTTTAATCAAGACACTATTTTCCTATTTAGTGTCCCTTTGAAACACACTGCAGGAGCAACAAAGCATAGCAGAATCTAATACTAGCTATTTTACATTTGCAATAGAAATATATCTGCAGTATGCAGGGGTTCACTAGTGGCCAGTTAACTACAATTAAAAAATATGACAGTTTATTGAAGACTTAACTTCCTGACTTAATTTCAAAATAGTTTTGCTTTAGAATATCTTACATAGAGGCATTCTTCCAAAAGTAAATTATTCTTGAGAAAGCTCTACTATCAGTAATTAACTTTATCTGAATCAAGGCAATTAATGTGTTTTTGAAACAGGTAATCAAATTTATTTGCCATCTACTACAAATATAGCCTTATATTTTCCTTGTTATATCTCCAAATAATATTTCAGAATTCTGAAATTAGTTACAAAATTTGTGAAACACTGAAAACTCAGCTTTTAACTATCCAATTACTGCTGACTTTGACCAGTCCAAAACAGGTGAAAATTTTTAGCATGTTGAATATAAAAGATCATTAAGATTGTAACAGATGATGTTACCAAATTATGTTCTCCTGAAATAACTCTTTTGTTTGTTTGCTTGCTTTTTTATACATGAACTAGCAAACAAGACTAACACTGCTTTTATGATAAAAATAATTCGTATACCAATGACAATGCCCTACTTATATATAAAAAATACTGACATGGTATTTTGTTTCACATAATATATACAGAAGGCTATGATTTCTTTTCATTTTTATTTAAATGTAATTTTTTTATTATTTAATTCCTAGATAAATAAAAGTAATTCATATAAAATCTTAAATTTCACAGAAGTTATACATATCAGAGAATGCAGGACTACACAAAATTAAAAATATTACTATCAAAAGAACAGATTTTACAACAAAAATTTATTTCATAGTCATAGCCCCATATCTGCTGTTCACAATGGAGGAAGAAGATTCTTTAAAGTTTCAGAATGTATATCAGGTAATAAAAAAACCTAAAGTTAAATTTGAAACACAGCTATTAAAGTAATGCTATATTCCCACAGTATTTTCTCATGCATACATTTTCCTAACATGCATAACTAAATGACAGGGGGAATTGAAAATAGTCACCTTTGGAACCTCATGTATGTTTTCAGTTTAGATGGTTCCACAGAATTTTTCTTAATTAATCCTCCTCACCATGAAGGTTATAAAAACATCAGCAGATAACTATGGCTATCAGTGATAAAAACATCAGACTCCTCTATTTTACCCACGTTTAAAGATATTTTTCCCATTACATTTCTGTAAGCTCCGCTTTTAACAATCAGCCTTTCTCATTACTGACATTTCACAGTAGCTTTTGTACTCAGGTATGTTTTTTATTTGCTTTACAGCTTCACAGCTTAAGAATAGTGATGCTACCAGCACCTCTAAACTTAAGAAAAGGCATCATCCATTAAATAAAAAGTAATAAGTTTGGAGAGTAAATTTTACATTATTGTATTAACAATACAATATATAAAGTGATACACTATAATTTGTCCTTAGTGAATATTTATAATGTCTTACTGTACCAAGTTTACCAGTTAAACTTCCTCAAATTTACATATGTTACATGATGTCACATTCTACATAGTGTTTACCATTATCTAAAATTTCACATAACCACAGTATGTCCTAGAACGAATTACTCATGCATCTGGGTAGATTAAACTGATGAAATTGTCTCAAAAATTACTGTAGATGAAACTGCTAATGCTTAATGTAGATGAAACTGCTAATACATTATCATTACTGAGAAAATGTAATACTTTGTTAAATTAAGAATGATTATTTTCATTTAAGGCATCGATTAAGTTATTTAAACTATATCATTCAGATACCATCATTATTTTATCTCATTAATTAATTACAACAGTAAATGCTGTATAAGCATCTAACAGAAAATTCAAATTACCCATAAAGTTTTTCAATCAACAATACATATAACTTAGTACTAACACATTAAGCAAAACCATTAAAAAAACTTTTTTGACCTCTATTATTTTTTATTAACATATTATAAATGTTCCCAATCGTTATGTAATATATTTGTAAAATGTAATACTATATTTATATTTGTTTAATTCCAGTCTACTTAAGAAGTTGACTGTAGGAAAAGAGGAGTGGGAGATCCTCAGACACATCTCCCTCTGGATGTTCTCCCTCAAAATTGGGGCCAAACTGTGCAGTTAGAGTGGCAGTACTATACCAATATGATCAATAGTGAAATTGTGGTGTCCCACCAGCTTGTGCCTGTTTTTTACACCATAATTAGTTTTTAGCTGTATACAAATGGTGCTTAATGTGTTAATTCAAAAAATTTAAAAGAGAGAAAAGAAGGTTTTAAAAAAATTTGGAACAGTTATCTTACTAAAGAAATTATAATTATCTTACTAAAAACATTGTTACTACATAAATTTTTGTTTTATGCTGAAAAATATGAAACAAAATCATGTTATCATGGGAAAAAATCAGTTAAAATTTAACTGCTGTAGCATGTATTCAAAGAATCGAAGCATAACATTTTATATAATGATATACTTGTTCGTTTGTTTATCCAAAGAATATAATATATATCTTGGTAATTTCATACAACTTTTAGTGAAAATACTAAGCATATTTCATCTTAAAACTGAACCATAACTAATTAATTATAGATATGAAAATGGTCAGCAAAAGCATAATCTTATTAATGGATCTGTATCATCCAACCATAACATTTACATTCATACTTTTCACCACAACAGGTAAAAAACAACTGATCGAGTTAATGAACTTCAATTATCAAAAAATCTCATTTAACAAAACCAAAAGAGTACATTATTCAAATTATCCTCATATAGAAAATAAGTATTTATAATCTTTTCATTTTTTACAACTCATATATTAAACATCTTAAAACTACATGGCATTTTAAACATATTTATAAGAAATTTCAAAACTGTAACAGACAGCAATATTTTCTCCCCCTGAAGAATTTATTTCTATAGCATTTTATTGATTCTACAATTTCAACACTGAGAATTCATTATGTAAATATTTAAAATTATTTAAATCATAAAGTAATAAAATACTATTTCTATCATAGGAAAAAGTTTTATTAATTGGAAAAGGTATCATAAAATGGAAAGGTGAAAATTTTTCTTTAAATGCCATTTATGTTTAAATTATAACTTTTCTTCAATAAAAACAACTTAGAGCACATGCACTCGAAAATGTATATATGTAGATTATCATAATGCATTGAAGAACTCCAATTAAATACAGTACAAAGTCTGTAATCCGGCCTCAAAGCTACAAACTTTAGGGGCATGCGCAAAATGCATTTACGCATGCGCGTTCAATTAATGTTGCAGATTGCGCTGTTCCTTAAACTTCTAATTGGATCCGGCTTATTATTTTTTGCAGACTGTTAGAACAATTTTATAAAAATTAAGCTTGAACGAACTTTCGACTATGTCAAACAGAGTTTCCAATTCTGGAGCTTTCAAAGGATCTACAAAGCGAAAGCATGTTTTGATGTCCATTAAATAAAAAGTGGAATTGCTGCAAAAAATGGATAAAGGCCTATCCGTCTCAAAATTATGCGAGAAGTGTGGCATCGGAAAGTCCACTACACAAGAAAAAGGAACTTTTTGAATTTTTTGTAGAAGCATTTTAAACAACTAACATTGAAAGAAATGTTGAATAAGGTCAACAAATAAATATTAAGCCTTTTTTTTGGTTAATTTTGATACCCTTTAGATCATAATTGTTCTTTATTTTATAAAGTACGATTTAATATTTTTAATTGTATAATTTCTGCATGCCATCTTACTAGATTTAAATTGATGATCTATAATCCAGAAAAAAACCCTAATCCAGAATCTCCGAAGACCCGACGAGTCCGGATTACGGACTTTGTACTGTATTTACATTTTTAAAGATGAAGATGACACTTTCTATTTTTTGGAAAAAGAACAAACTATTAGGAAATCTGAAATATTATCAATGTTTAACAGCTGTGATAAGGGGCATAAAGGTTCTTTGTCTAAGATGAGTTATTTCAGAGTGCAATAATTTTCATATCGGAGGTAAAATCCTGTGCCTTTGTTAATGATTCCAGTTGCAGCCTCGAAGGTTGCTCCAGTGGAAAAAGATAAAAGAAGTCTTTTCATCAGGGTGACGAGATAAACACTTTGTTATGTATGAGTGAAAGAATCATCTCCCCCCCCCCGAGTTCAGTGCAAGTAAGCACAAGGAGATATATTAGGTGGTTTCCTAAGAAGAGGAAAACTTTCCTGTTTAGAGCTATGGGTATGTTGGCCTCCTAAGATCGATCATTCCTCATGTATAAATGCATTAAGAGCATTTGTCCTGCAACAAAATTCTGAAATTACGGGACTAAATATATCCAAGTCCCATACTGTAAAGATATGCAACTGTTAAGGTTTTTATCTTATTAAAATTCATGTTATTGTTAAAACGTGAGTTTGAAGTTCATTCCAACCCTGTGTTACAACCCAGGGTTTACGTCGCAGTTTCGGCCACTACACTACACAGCAATATGTTAATATTCATTAAAAATTTGCAGAAAATTAAATTTAATTCTAATGCTAAAAACAAAAGGAATTTTCACAGATGGTATGCAGATACATCTCTAAACATATGTTAATATGTTTAGAGACATCTTTCATCTCTAAACATATGTTATGTGTTCCACACACATAAAACATGCCTCCCCCAAAAAAATTTCCCTTTATAAAGCATATTGAAACACAGTTTCCACTTTTGAGCAACTAAATTAACAGCTAATGAAATTGCACTTATTTTGTATTAATTTTACTCAGAAATTCACATTATTATTGCAACAGGGGGAGAAAAGTTATTTTGAGATTCTAAAATTTATTATAAGCAAAATATACCTTCAAGTTCAACAAGGCGTTTTACTTCCTTTTGTTCAGCATATATTTTTTGCTGTTGAGCTAAATACTGCTGCACAAACTCATTTTGCTCAGTAGCAGCATCAAGCTGAAAGAATAATATATAAAAGTATCAGCCATTCCATATTTTCTCTTTAATAAATAATAAAATTTTGTAAAAAATAGAGATAACAATCATAACATGCATTTTATACATACTTGTAAGTTCAGATCACAATCTGTAAAGAAACAAAAATCTTAAGAAGACCTCTTAATAACAGCGTCATAAGTTTAACATTATAAATAAATATGAATTTCATGCATTCCATAAGATGATACAGTGTTTCTCAGAAATCTACATAAAACTTTGCCATCACGCACTGCCCAAAACAGGCATGTGCTATGTACATAACTAGGTTGCCAGGTTTGACATAATTATCCGTTTCATGAATACTTTTCGTGATTTTATGGTGAAAGAGTGCGCAATCAGAAAGTACCTTATGTACTTCATTTGTATCTGCTTAAGAAATGTAAGTACATTTTTTAAAACTATGAACTAATTTTCTATTAAATGCATATTTTAAATTTTGTTTTAATTAAAAATGTTTAAACACATTCTTCCCCCCTTCTTTTTCTTACTGTTTTTATTCAAAGAATTCAAGGTTTGAAACACTTCAGAACCTTTTATGATTTGCAATTGAATTTGAGAAAATATAAGATTTGCCCACTTCTACAAAATGCATCATGCCTGATATGTTAAACTTAGATTTTTAATGCTTCCTTTTAAAATGATACATAATTCTGTGATGGAAAATAAATGGTGGCTTTTTAAGGATAGAGAGAAAACATAAATGGAACTTTTTGTGTCTGTGTATATTCATAATATTTTCTCTGAATCATAAAAAATTTTACTCCGATCACAGACTAAATGGTGTTTACTTCTTATTAAGAACATAATTTTGTAAATGATGCCAAGATTATTGGTAAATCAGCAGTGCAAAAAGTCATCAAATGGTCAACAACTTTAGCCAATCATTTACAAACTGCTCTTAATAAGAAGAACTCCTATAACGCCGCTGAATACTAGTAGTTCAATCCGAGGTTTAAATCCCACGAACAGGTTGGTCACATGGGAGTTTCCGTGTTTTCCCCATATGTAACGTGTATATGAGTCAGTTTCCTTTAAAAAGTCCTTCACGAAGGCATCTCTTCCTTCAGGCAGATAGCCCTTGAGTACTTTGCCATAATCAAATAAACCAAACAAAACATAATAAATCACGTGTTATTGTACTTTTATATATTTGCAATTGAATTTGAGAAAATATAAATATAAACGTTAAACGATAAAATATATATATAAACGTTAGCATTTATATATATATATATAAAATCACAATTCTCTTATCATAAGAACAACTCAGAATAATCATAGTTAACATATTTTCATTTTTCAAAAAAAAAAAGTGTTTAAAATTTTTTTGGTTTATTGAGAAATGAAGATTATGCAATATCTTTCTTTCAAGAAAGATGTATTTTACCTCACATTTGAATATGCCAAAATGGCACTTGAATAAAATTACACATCAATGAAAGTACTTGAAGGTGCAATGTGAAGAAGAGTTTCAAGTAAAAGAAGGAAATGTTTTGACAACTGGCACTTTCAGAATACTGTTTGCAACAGCAATTTATTTACTCTTAGTCAGCGAAATTGATTTCACTTAAGTAAATGATGAAGAAGCAAATCTGCCTTTATGATAATACAACTATGAACTGGAACAGTTTATGAGAGATGTGTATGCTCTACTTCTAAACTGACAACTAAATTAGCAAATATGAGGCCCTAAACAAATTAAGAACATAAATCTGTTCATATGATACTCTGTTTTGTACGAGTCCTGTTTATATGGGATTTGTCCATCAAAGAAAAAAACAAAGACAGCAACATTCTAGTACAATACTGGATATATGGTGGGTTATGCTACATGATGAAAATGATGATGGATTCTTTCTCTCTCGGGATTTGGACACCCCTGGCAAAAATTGTTGACCATATATGAGACGGATCAATGATTTATTCAGACTGCTGGCAAGCATATAAAATAGAAGAACTGGAAAAAGCAGGTTAAGAGATATTTTACTATGAGCTATACATTTGATTTTGTCGATCCAACAATAACAGCTCATACACAAAATTATGAACGACTATAGTGCTCGATAAGTTCTAAGCAGAATAAAAATCAACAAGGCAGAGTTTGCTATCATCACAAGTCTTACACTGCAGAATTCATGTGACAAAAGTCCTTGGAACACAAAAATGCTTCTGATGCCATATTAAAAGCAGATATGAAATATGGTGGGCAAAAAGTATATGTGAAAAGTAAACATGAAATTGGTGATAATCCTTGGGACCAAATCGGCACTTCAAAAAATGGAGGCTGTAATAATAAGTAACAATTAAGTATATGACTTCATAGTTTATGAAATATTCTAATATGTGAATCATAGAAAACAAGCTTTCTCACCACTTTATTATCTTCATACTTAAAAGGTATTATTACCATTATATTTTTCTCTCATAACACGAGATAAAATAGTATATCTCAGCCTTGAACACAATTGTTGAATTCTTAACGATAACTTCAATCCAATTTTGCTTAATGAAAAACAAAACTAGGAAGCTTTCAATTTGCATATGAATATTTTCACTTAGTCTGAACTGAAATTAGGTGATGAGCATTTCTATGCAGATTATTTAAAAAAATTTCACCTAATCTCTTAACAGATATGCACAAATCTTAATCTGCATTTCTTTGCAGATTATTTTGAAAAATATTGATGAATACAATTTTTCCCAGAATCTTATAGAATTTGTGTGCTAGAAAACACTAATAGGCTTCAATACAGTCACTTAATAAACTCATAGTTTTATCTGCATTAATTAAAATTTTAAAAAATTTGTACTTAAATGAATTTTTTATTCATTAAGTACACTTTTTATTCATTAACCATCCATTAAGTTCATTTTTATTCATTAACCAGATTATGAACTTAAAGTAATTAAACTTCATCACAGTGTTAATAATATATTTTTAGACTAAAAGCTTATAAATTACTTGCATGAAAATTCTTTTGGAATACCAGTTACAATCAAATTAAAAAATAAAGGCACTAGTAAATCATAAAAGAATATCACTGAATAGCATTTAAGGGGTAAAAATCAACTTATTTATTAACTGATCCCTTGAAGCAAATTCAAAATGACATTAAATATTGCAAATTTTTAAATAAAATACCTCAGTCAGTTTTTTTCATACAGGAGTCAGATCTACAGCATTTTATTTTTTAAAACTAGTATGTATAAATGTTTCCTAAATTATGAGTGAAGGAATGTGTAATGGAGTGTAAAAAATTAGATTTCATATTTAGCACAATTAAAAAATATAAAAAGATGAATATTTGCATCATTTGGAACATTTTTGTAACTGGGAGTATATGTCTTCAACCAATGGCTGCAAAAATAAACATCAGGTAAGGGCTATAGTGAATGCGGCCTACCTGAAACTTGACAGCGCAGAGCAAACATTGTAGTGTTACTGAACTTTTTTAACAATTACTCTAGTTATAAAAATGAAATCTTACCTCTAGTTGACTTTCTTTCTTCACACAGCTTCTCAAATTCAAGTTGCTAATCAAAGAAAGAGAGGAGAAGAATCACTGCTTGAACATTTATACAATAATGATTTAAGAAGAACAAAAGGTAGAATTATTATACAGTTTTTGAATAAATGATAGCCTGAGATTTAAAATTTCATAGGAAACAGGCATAAAAGTGTACCAGTTTAGGGAAGGAAAAAACATTTAATGCCTTTTGAATTAATGTAATAGCATAAAAAGTTCTTAGTCAAGCAATTTATTAATAGCTAAAACTAAGTAAAACTAGTAATTTATTCAAAGTTTTATCACCGTGACTAAGATGGCTGGCTGAACAGAGTTTCTGAGATTTTATGTGACATAGGGTGAGCCCGGTTTATATTTAAAGGTGCTCTATAAAAACATATCTTCTCTTAGGTAAACACAGTAAAGTCTCTCCTAGTAGTGACATAGCCATTTCCAAACATGAAGTAATGCTCTTATGTTCGAATGGATTTCTACAGAAGAAGCTAATTTAGGACTTCAGTGGCAGGCCCCTTGGTCAATTGCAAAACTCGAAAGGTTATAAAAAAAAAAGCTTTTTAAATATTAAACCAGATTTTAACCTGCAATGAATTTGATTTTAAAATGTTTTGATTTTGATTGTTACGAAATTGTTAATTGATTAGATAAAGGGTGATGAATAACAGTGCATGATTGATACAGATATTCTGTTTTGAGTTTAGAACTAGGTAGCAACACAAAATGAACTATGTAATCAAGCGAAGAACTGTAACAAATGTTACGATGTATATATATTTATGCGTAACAAGAAAATACAAATTTTTCTGTCTGAACAGCTACTTAATGTATTCAAGTTAATAAATTATTGCTCATAAACTTTTTAACACCTACTTGAGTGATTATCAAGTTTTTAAGGAATGGATTTTACAGTTAGAATAAACTGAAGGGTACCCTTTGTATTATCGCGAAGTTCTTTCATTTATTGCCAAGTTGTTGTTTTATGTATGGTAACCTGAGTAGTTGAATGTTAAGGAAACCCTATTATGATGTAATCAGTTCCATGATTCAGGTAAATTTTGAATTATGGGATGTTTTGTAAGGGCGTGTGGTGTTTGTTGGTTAGGAAGTACATTGCTTGTTTTGTTGTTTAGATGATAGAATGGCTGAATGTAGTAAGATTAATTTGAAGTTTCTGTACGATTTGGAATGAAAGGAGAAAAAAAAAGCATTAATTGACTAGTGTGTGAATGAAGGTTTACTTAGTAGCCATTTTCCGGACAGTCCGGAAGTGAGGATATTTCTTACTCTTATTTTTGTGAATTTATGTGGCGATGCCAATATACAGATTCGAGTTCATATAATTTTAAGAAGTTTTTGGATGCTGTTAAGAAATTTTGTGTGCCACAGACTGAAGATGAAGAAATTTCTAAATAAGGTAAGTGGCTATTTGCTTTTAACCTTATTTAGAAATTTCTTCTAAATGAGAGGTGAAGGTGGTTCTTCTAAATAAGGTGGAGAATATCCTCTTATGCATCTAAGATAGATATAAAAGATCTAAGATCTATAAGAGGTTTTTCCTTTTTTATGCTATTTTATTGTTTGGTTTAAAATTTATTTTTTGTTTGCCTCTACTGTAGAACTGGGTACTCCTTTGACATTTTAAATGAAAATATAGCGACGTGTACCTGGACAAAGGGAGTGCTCAATGCCAAGTTTTGCAATTCTCTGATGTTTTTTTTAGTGAAAATAAGTCGACGTATACATCGATAAAGTCAAGGGAGTGTGCAATGCCCTGTTTGTGAAACTCTTGTGATTTTTTAAGTGAAAATAGGTCAATGTGTACATGGATACCGAGTTTGTGTAATTCTTTGACTAGTTATTTTGTCTTCGTGTAGCGGAGATTTTTGGTGCTAATATTGATGCTGCACAAAACCAAAATAACAAGTCAAAGAATTGCATAAACTTGGTATCCATGTACCACCAATTTTCGCCAAGGGGTTCCCGTAAACATACTTTTACCAATTCTACAAGCTATTATAGAAGTTCCCATGAATTTGATCAATATTTACTGCATCATCCAGTAATAAAGGATTCTTCTAAAAATTAAACCAGTGTTCGATGCTTCAGCACATGAAAAGAATTTTGTTTCTTTTAATTCAGTTCCTTCTATATTTTTACAATTTCATTGGAAAAGTTATACAGTCAAAAGTCGTTAATTCGGACACCCATAATCCGGAATGATCTATAATCCGGACCTCAAAGCTAGAATCTTTCTGCGCATGCGCCACCGTTTACGCATGCGCGCAAGACCTTTACGACTGCGCATATGCATGTGCGCAAGCGCAGAATACGTTTTCGCATGCGCGTTTAATGTATAACGGACGGTATAAGCTAAAGCTATCTAATTATCTATTTCAGTTAATGTTGCAGATTGCATTGTTCCTTAATCTTCGAATTGGATTCAGCTTATTATTTTTTGCAGACTATTAGAGCAATTTTATAAAAGTAAGCTTGAACTTTCGATTATGTCAAATAGAATTTCCGATATATATTACTAATATGCCAAAGGATCTACAAAGCGAAAGCATGTTTCGATGTCCATCAAACAAAAAGTGGAATTGCTGCAAAAAAATGGATAAATGCATATCCTTTGTTTCTCTAACCATTCCAAAATCTGCTTATCAATTTCACACTGCTCTGCAGGGGGGGGAACGTCGCGGTGCGCAATGAACTGGAAGTTGATCTGTCAGCACTATCCGTATCTATCTTCGGGGCAGATGTTTTTATTTATTCGGCTTATAGTTCCTTACTAAATGTAGTATTTCATCTCGATGTATTCCGTCTTTGATATGATTTAAAATCAAATTCCTCTTCATTATAAATATCACGAATACACATCAAATAGTTTTCTGGTTGCAATTTTCTAATTTCGACTATGCGTAATGTATGCTTTACGCATGTGCGCGTTGAAAGAAATGTTTAATAAAGTAAACAAACAAATAAATATTAACCTTTTTTTTTTTTTTTTTTTTTTTTTGTAAATTTTGATACCATTTAGATCATAATTGTTCTTTATTTCATTAAATTACGGTTTCATAATTTTTAATTTTAGAATTTCTACATGCATCTTACCAGATTTAAACTGATGATCTATAATCCGGAAAAATCGATAATCCGGAATCGCCGAAGTCCCGACTAGTCCGGATTAAAGACTTTTGACTGCATAATAATAGCTGATATATATCAAGCTTTTTTTTTTTGCAAATTCGTTAATTTCATTAATTGCTATTGCATAAAATAAGAGGTTATCAAATCATAATTCGCAGCTCTTCTTAATAGCCGTAATGTCCTCATTCTTAAAATGTTGAAGCTCTTTTAGATAAGCATAAATACAGTACAAAGTCTGTAATCCAGACGTCCATAATCCGGACCTCAGAGCTACAAACTTTATGCGCATGCGTAAATGCATCATGTGTTTACGCATGCACGTTTAATGTATAACGGATGGTATAAGCTAGTCTAAAATTATTTAAGGCATTTTAGTTAATGTTGCAGATTGCACTTTCCTTAATCTTCTAACTGGATCCGGCTTATTATTTTTTGCAGACTGTTAGAACAATTTTATAAAAATTAAGCTTGAACTTTCAATTATGTTTCCAATTCTGGAGCTGCCAAAGAATCTACAAAGTGAAAGCATGCTTCGATGTCCATTAAACAAAAAGTGGAATTGCTGCAAAAAATGGATAAAGGCCTATCCGTCTCAAAATTATGCGAGAAGTATGGCACTGGAAAGTCCACTATATATGACACAAGAAAAAGGAACTTTTTGAATTTTTTGTGGAAGCATCTTAAACAACTTACATTGAAAGAAATGTTTAATAAAGCAAACAAATACATATTAAGCTTTTTTTTTTTTTTTTTTTTTTTTTTTTTGTAAATTTTGATTTGATACCCTTTAGATCATATTTGTTCTTTATTTCATAAATTACGATTTCATATTTTTAATTGTAAAATTTCTGCAAGCCATCTTATCAGATTTAAATTGATGATCTATAATCCGGAAAAACCCCTAATCCGGAATCGCCAAAGTCCCGAGGAGTCCAGATTATGGACTTTGTACTGTACTTTTAAACTCAAGGTCCGTTTGTAATTCAGCTATGATAGTTTACAAGAATCAAGAATTTCTGCAGTAAGCGTAGCTCATTTTAGTATGTTCCTCTCCCCATCTAATTTTATTCTTGATAACACATCAGCCATTACATTTTCTTTGCATATGTTTAATGAATAGGTTGAATTCTTGAAGTTTAACAGTTCATGTAATAAGTTTTTCCGATAAATTCTTCTCAGATTACACATGACTCACAGTCGCATGATTTAAATGTGTATATGCTAACAGCAGTTTTCCCAAAATACACTTGAAATTTTTTAACCACTAATAAAATTGCTAGGCTTTCGCTTTCTGTAGCCACATAACATTTCTTTGTAGGATATGGAGACTAGTAAATTAAGTAAGTTTGAATCCACACAATAACAGAAAGTTAAAAAAACAGTCAAAAAGTTGAGAGAATCAATTTACATCAAAAACTATACAACTAGTTTCAATAATTTTGAAGTCAATAAGTTTATAAATTTAGCTAAAAGGATAATGTCAGACTCAAAATTTGACAGTACAATATATCTGAGAAAATGAGAAACCTTGTTTATACTCAGAAACAACCTTCTTTATGATCACATATTCGTGATGACACAATTCTCTCTTCATGGCTCACGTTATAATATATGTGACCAGCCCTTCTGAGTTTTGAGGCCTTTGATCACAGTGGCATTAAAATTGGAATGTCTTATTTAAGTTTTTTAACGACACTAGATGGCAACTGAAATCTGTTACATTTTAAAATAATGTTCCTTAGAGCTTTGACTTTCAATATACCTTTTCAGTTCTTTTTTTTTTTTTTTTTTTTTTTTTTTTTATCAGGGTAATTTGAACATGTAAGCAAATGCACGAAGGGCTGTATTTCATTGCATGCTCGG